GTACCTACGTGATGGTGAACAGGGGGTCTGCTGTCCTGTTAAAGCAGCTCCCAATTCCCATGGTGGCACGGCAGCCTCTCGGTGCCTGCTGTCCCCAGGCTGCCACTAAAGCTCCTCATCAGCCAGCAAGCCACCAAAGCCCATGGGGACCTGCCTGGCTGCTCAGCCAGGCTACAATCTCTTTTCTAGGTGACAGCAGAAGTGCCCCAGTCCATGCCCCTGGAGCCAGACAGGCTCTGGCAGCTCCCAGCCCGGAGCTCGGCAGCTGCTGCACAAGGGGAGGAGAGGAGAAGCCTCCTGGGGGAGGGATGACCCCAGAGCTCCACGTTTCCTTCCCATCTAATACCTCCAGAGGGAAGGTGGAGACTCAGGAGGATAAAAAGCTTATGCTTGAACTTACTGTTCACTCATCCAGCAAATGCTTAAGTCTTACTTTTCTTAACCTCCCGCCCTGTGGTTTACAACCTTGTGTGTTTTAAAAGAGGGAGGGACTATTTATGCCTTGTTCTTGTAATCACGAATAATTAATATTCATAATTACCCAGGCAGGAGGAAAATGAAGGCCCAGTATTTGGAGGGTTGAGATTTTGTCTGCTTTAAGCACCATCAAGGCTGGATATTGTTATGAAAGAAGATAATGAGAGTGGAGGGAAAAGCTCAGCTATAAAGAGTCACTGCTCAGCATTTATTTTATTGCACTGTGTCAGGCACTACAGACTGGCTTCAAAAACCAGCCTGGATTTGGGTACAGCCTCTGAAACAGCTTAGATGTTTTCACTGCATTTTGTTCAATGTTTTTCTAATAATTTATCAAAGATGTTTGAGCCAAGCCCTGAGACTAAGCCATAAAAATATAATTCTCTCTTCCAAACACTTCTCACAAGGGAGGGGATTCGATGCAAAGATTCTTAGTGATAGTAAAATAAAGCACCGAGCTGAGCTTAAGATGTTTAAATAGCAAAATATCCACCACTCATTCTATTCTTAGCAGAAGTTCCCTTTTTGGATTATCATGTAACAGTAGTCATTCCCCAGCTCAACACTCTCACATTAACCTGCCCCCTCCTCTGAAATTTGTGGATGGAGACCAAAAAAAACAAAGGTGATCAATTTAGAAAGCTGAGCAATTCATTAAGGAAGGAAATTGTAACAAATTCCCTCTCCTGTGCTGCTGAAATTCTGAATTTCACCCAGCAGAAGTGCCCTCCTTCCCCAGCCTCACCAGAATTCTGACCCTGCTGAGCAGCACCACCAAAGAGTGATGCCAGCACCAAATCTCCCCAGCCAAAGAGTCTTACAAGGTTTTAATCTAATTCAATGTTTTGCTCCAAATCCTGGATAACAACCAAAATTACCCAGCGTGATGTAAAAATACCCCTGGGATAAATTTAATCACTGTGCTACTGCCTTTAATAACACTGTTAATTATGACAGCAGCAGTCTGCAGCCATTTCTGCCCTACAAATTCCAAGGATATGAAATGACTGCAGAGCCTGGGAGCATGCACGGTACAGAATGAAGCTGTGGCTCCATCCAGCACGCTGGGAACCACTGCCTGGGGATGCTGTGCCCTGCTCAAGCCTCTCTGAGCTGCTGATTTGGGTTTTGACATCCCTGAGAACTCTGCTGCAGCATCTGGAACAGCAGCATCACCCCTGCTTTAAAGAGAGGATGGGAGATCCAAATCCACTCATCTGGAGAAATTGGAACAAAAACAAATTTCTATTTGCAGCAGCAAGCCAGAGCTCCTTCACACCAGGCATGGTTGATGTGTTTAGTGAGATTTTTCTGCTGCACAAAGTTCTTATCTGAAGAAAGAAACACAATGAATGGGACCAGGAAGCGGGGGTTTTGTCCCTGTGTGGTGTGGGGGGCTATATATCTCATTTTTCTGTCTCCATTTCCTGTTCTGTGGAGACTTTTACTCTAACACGTTTTTATTTTTGGCGGCGCGCGCGAGCTCTTTTTCACCCGGGGTGTTTTTTGTGTTTTTTGTGATTTTTTTGTTGTGCACAATTTTTTTCTGTGGAGAGAGACACACTGTGTGGGGGCCGGGGGAGCAGGGTTGGTCACCCTGTGAGGTGGCAGGCCATAAATATCACATTAATTCCTTCAGAAAGGCACAGCCCTAAACCAGATTTTCAACTTGTGGGAGCCACAAACTCACATCCCTGCCAGGACATACAAAATATCCACCTCCAGAAAAGCCAACACGAAGATCTTGCAGGAACTACAGGCAAAAGTCACCTCAATGCAAGAAATTCCAGGTTTTTAATCCCCCCAGCAAAGCTGCTCCTGAAACTCTTCCAGCAAAGGATAAAGGAAGGCATTTCTGACAGATGGCTGCTGGTTGCTCAAGCAGGAACCAGACTAAGACAAGGAGCTGGAGAGGGATCAGCATCACAGAAACCTATTTTAGGAACTGCCTTTACCCAGATTTTTTACCCAGATTTTTTCCTTTTCAATCCTCTCCTTGACAGAACACAGTTCTTGACAAAACCAGCCTTATAACACATCTTTATCAGTAAAAATGTACTTTTTTGGTAACCCCAAAGTAATCAGGATCACAGAAATCTATTTCAGGAACTGCCTTTGCCCAGATTTTTTCCTTTTCAATCCTCTCCTTCCTTGACAGAACACAGTTCTTGACAAAACCAGCCTTATATCACATCTTTATCTGTAAAAGTTATGGTTTTTGGTAACCCCCAAAGTAATCAGGATCACAGAAACCTATTTTAGGAGCTGCCTTTACCCAGATTTTTTTCCTTTTCAGTCCTCTCCTTCCTTGACAAAACTAGCTGTATTCTTATAACACATCTTTATCAGTAAAAATGCATTTTTTTTAGTAACCCCCAAAAATAATTTGGATCACAGAAATCTATTTAAGGAGCTGCCTTTACCCAGATTTTTTCCTTTTCAATCCTCTCCTTCCTTGACAAGGCATATTTATTGACAAAACCAGCCTTAGAACACATCTTTATCTGTAAAAGCTGTGGTTTTTTGGTAACCCCCAAAGTAATTTGGATCTAATCCTGCTCTGAAAAGCCACAGCAGGGAAGGTTTCAGACCAAGGCCACTAAATGGGAGCTTAAAAGGTTCCTGCAGACAGTTTTTCACAACTGTGCTCTCAGAGATGTTCATACACAGCATTTAAAAGCAGAATTATTGCACTGAGGAGAGGCAGAAACACCACTGAGCACAAGGTGTGAAAATATCTTATTATCATCCTCCAAACTTCATTATTAGTTCAACACCCAGTGAAGGTTTCTCTTGAAGTTTTTGATCCTGCAATTCCAGAAAAGATAAAGATAAAATATGCTATTGAAAGACAATCCCTGTCCTAGAAATCAAACAGAATAATCCAAATTATACAAGGGAAGCCCCAGTATGAAAATACACCTTGGTGCTCATGTTTGGTTATTTTTTAAAGGAGGCACAGGCAATTTATCTGGCAAATCATGGTGGATTTTGTTTTCTTAAAGCAAAATCATACAAATTCATATTCATAAATTCATTTGATTCCAAATATTCCTCACCCAAATTTCTTAGTTTATACTGCCACTGCAGTTTAAAAGAAACAGTTAATAAATACCACCTGTTAGGAGGCTATTCTGTAAATAAACCTGCATCCTTTTATTGCCCAGAAATCAAACATCCAGCAGCTGTCACTGAGCTGCTGGGTCAGTTCAGCTCTCAGATGGGAGCTGGGATGATTCAAACTGCCTTGAATGGCTCTGCCCTGCACAGACCTAAAATCAGAGCACTTGTTCCAGCCTCTGGTTTCCAAATCCAGCTGGTCACTCCACCAGACAGAGCTGGTTTAAGAATTCCAGATGAAAATAACTGCAATTTCTGTTTTGACTACAGGATAAAGCACAATGGGAGAAAATATTTGTATTTCTTGTGCTTGATTACACAAAACATTTCCCTGTGCAGCTCGCTGGCTCCTCCAGCTCCATTGTTTGCCAGGGAAAAATAGAAAAAAAAAAAAAATCAGGGCTTGTGAAAAACTACTGAGGTTGTGATTTATTGGTGAGAGAAGGCTAGGAAAATAGCCTGGGTAAAATTCCACATCTGAAACTCAGCTCAGCCCCAGCCCTGAGCAGGAGATCCAAGCAAAATGTTGGTGCTGCATGGGAATATAACAACATGAATATTTTGTATCTCAGGTTTGATTATTTGCAGAATGTGCCTGACTTTTCCTGCCCTA